TTTTCGGATACAAAGAAGGAGGCAAAAGCCTTAGACTGCCATATTACGAGGATGGGTTAACCCGAGAACATCATGTTCAAGCCACGGTTTCACCCCGTGGAAGGATCGTCCAGTATATGAAGCCCTCGATGCTAAAGCCTGTTCTTGATGGTGAGGGTTTGTGATTAGGGTAAGATACGGGGAAACAATGTGCGACACAAATGCACCGTATTCATCGATCTCAAAATGTATTGGCGTGTTAGTTATTCACGTGAGATTCGAGAACGCTAGATCGACCTAGTTTCATAGGTGTATTTGATTTGACGTCAAATGGCATATTTTAAAACCTTGACTAATTTTATTTAGGTTCAAGCCAAAAACAAACAAAGAGAAAGAAAAAAAAAAATATAAAATTGCGTACTTAATCAATATTTATATTTAATTTATATTTGTCGAGCAATCAACATATCTTCAAAAATTCAATATACAAATTGGTTTTGGTTTTACTTTAGTTCCATGGGTAATGCTACGTGAACAACCGTGTTGACAACTTTGTTGACAACTTGAGATATACTGTACTGTTGAGATGATCATAAATTAACGGTTAAGATTTGTTTTGACCTTAATTTATTATTTTTTTGACTTTTGTATAAAGTGTAACAAGTAGAATGTCCAAAACACCCTTGTTTTTGTAAAAACAAATGTTTTTTCATAATTAGATGTAATTTTATCCTGAAGTTAATTGTTTTAACATACCAGATAAATTATCTATTCTTTCTGACATATCAGCTAGAGAACGTTTCTCTGAAACTGATAATCTGCTTGATTCTCCTATAATTAAAGAATTTTCTTTAATCTGCATAGGATTTTTATTTCCTATTAAGGTTTTTCCTTTAGCTATATCAATAGCCCAATGTTCTTCTAGGGGTGCTAACTCACAGAATATTTTTTCTTTTACTGAACCGATATCTGAAAAGATATCTTCTAGTTCAATGTAAGATTTTTTCCTATAGTCTATACTATGATGACTATTAGTCAGAGCATAGCTTATAACATATGTGACACTAAAGACTTTGTCTCCAGGGTTCATTAAATTTTCTCTTTCAAAGTGATGAATGAAAGATAAAGTTCTATCTAAATTTGCAGTTTGAATAGACATACCAAATTTAGGATAAACTGTAAAGATAAATTTACCATAAGCAAGGTTTCCTCTTGCTACTCCTAAGATACAATCTTTTCTGTCATTAATTCTGTCATCGATTAATGCCATTTTTATAGGGGTATCAATCCCTTCTTGAAATTCAGCTTTAAGCAAAATTTTTATTGCTCCTAGATGAATTGTTGAAATTTTATTTCTTATAACAGATGGAATTTTCTCTAGATTTTTTTTCGTATTTCTGCTTTAGTAATTAAAGGCGGGTATACGGTTTTTTTAACATCTCTTATGTCTACATGCAATTCTTGCGTGTTGACAAAATAGAAAATTTCATTTTTTCTTTTTAACTTTGATTTTTGAATCTTAGTTAATACATCATGTTTTATTGCCAAACTGGCTTTAAAACCGTTTTCATTTTCATTAAATGAAATTTGTGAAAGATCACTATTAGAACATAGATCTTGTTCTATATTTTTGTTTTCATTATCTGTATTGGAACTCATATTCCAAACAAGTTTTTTCTTTGATACCAGTCTCTGATACCAAGATTTTTAAACGGGTTGATTCCCGTGCGGAATTTATACAGGATATCAAAACAATCCATTTCAAGTCATAAGAAGTGAACTTTGTTGTTGTGCCTTCTTAATAGACTCTTTTAATGCGAGAATGACCGAGATTATTTTATTGACATTATCAACATAGCTTCTTGTAGTTGCTAGTTTTATTTCTATAGGTGCAGAAATAAAAGTTTGAATATAATCATTCAATCTTTGTTCTTCTTCATTTAAATCAGTTGTTAACCGAATTATTTGTTTTCTTAGTGTTATAAGACAATTTATATCTGAAAACACTACTCTTACTGGCATATGCCATAAATTATCGTTTTCCATAGCAAGTTAGAGTTTTAACACTTAAACAAAATCAATGAATTTAGGCAGCTCCCAAAAGAGATGCTTGTTTTTCTGCTTTCTTAATTGACTTCTTGGTAGAAGTAACTAAGCCATATAGACCATTTAGTCTGAAACCATAAGATTTTAGGATACTCATTTTATCCTCAAGTAATGCCCTGTTATACTCGAGTTCTTCCTCAAGTTGTAAGGCTTCAAGTCTTCGTTGATAAACTTCCAACAAAGTATGAAGATTTCTTAATTGTTTACGTTGATATTTCAAAGCGTTTCTTTTTCTATAATGCATTTTCATTGGCAAATGCCAAAAATCATACCATTGTAAAAAATTCATAATTCCCTATTTAGAGAAATTATTTTATCAAAAAGGTTTATTCTAATTTATGGTTTTGAAAACCTTTTTTCAATGATTCTTGAAATTTCTTTTTAAACAAAATAAAATTCCTTTCTTAGAAACTA